ATATATATATATATATATATATATATATATATATATATATATATATATATTGATTTAGTTATGACTACTTAGAGAACATCATTAACTCGAATAGTTCTTGGCAGTTATTTTGCATATTAATTTATTTTAATTTAAGAATTTCACTGCTGCTGATGTTTACGTTTTTCTTTGATTTTTGTTTTCAGTTTGTATACATATATGTATGTATGTATGTATGTATGTATGTAAATAATGTATTTTATATTATTTCTTTCACATATTTCATAAATTTGTTGTGCATATTCAGCTTTTTTCTTGAATTTAAAATTTTAGACTTTCCGAATATAGTTTTAAAATTATTTAATTTTTTTTCTTTTTTGTTCTCTGTTTTTATTGCTAATTATTTCAAAAATGTTGCGAATCATCACACTTAATACATTTATATGTGGCGCCATCTGGCGATTAAAAACATAATACACTTATGTGGCGCCCTCTGGCTGCTATTCTTTGCATACGCATATACATATATATATATATATTTAATTTTTTCTTTATTGGCATTCACAATTTGCTGTTTATTTTATTTTATTTTGTAATTTTTTCATTCTCTTTGCATTTCCTTGCGCTTTTTTACATTTTTTTTTTTATTTTTTATATAAATAGTTTATGCAGATTCGCAAGCTAAATAATTTGATTTGTTTTCTTTAAATATTTCTTTTAAATAACTACTACATTGAAAAGGTGTAATTATAAATGTTTGTGTGTGTGTGTGTCTGTTGTAGGTGTGTCTTTGTGTATGTGTGTGTGTGTGTGTGTGTGTCTGGGTGGGTGGATTTGAATGCATCAGATTTGTTGCTCTTTCCTTTTGAGTGAAGTGGTTTTTTTTGCATTTGTTGCTAAAGCATTTTTCCTCATACATATATTCCCGTTTATTGGCAGTGCAAGTTTTTTGTGTTCCTTGTTTTGTGCACAAAACTCAAACAGTAGAACGAATGAAGAAAAACAAATATATAAACAACGGAAAACCGTTAAGAAAAAAAAAAACAATAAAAACCAAATTGTTTTCATAACTTTTTTGCACTTATTGAATATTGATAAACAAATTGAGAAGCAACAAAAAACTGGCAACAAAACCAAATACGAAATACGAATAATAGTTGGACGCGCTCGCCGACAGATGGCGCCAATTGAATTTGCTGTTACTGTTGCGTCCAGCGCAGAGATCTCTTCGCGAAGCTCCATAACTGGAACTTTCATTGAGTCAATGTGTGAGTGTGTGTCAGTCTGTCAGTCTGTGTGTGTGCGTGTGGATGGATGTGTGTGGCTGTGGCTGTGTATGTGTGGGAGTATGCATTTCTGTTGGTTTTGTTCTATAAGATACGACGAGTTATGTACTATATAATAGTATATTTATATATTATGGTACCCTAACACTCATCAGCTCGACTGATCGTCGGCGCTATCTATCCATATCTCTCACGCTTACCCCTCCCCCCTCCCCCCCTCCCCATACCACTCTCCCATTCGTTTGCTCTTGCCGTTGCACTCGCTTGCTCCAACTTTGGCTCCAAGCCATTTTCTGCCATCTGCCAACAACGTATCGTTGCTGTCGTTGCTATTGCCGGATTTAAAACGTTACCCAAAGCCGCCCGGACTGCCAGCCCACCAAAAATGCTTTACGCACGACGTCCGCTTCGCTCCCTTCAATCCCAGCCATTCTCCTTGATCATGTGGGCCAATTCAATAATGAATTTACCCTCCTTGTACTTCTGGCTGGACTCGTACGCATGCTCATATTTCCAGCCAAGCGGCGTCTTGCAGCACTCACAGTAGATATCAGCGACCGCATGCAGTCCGGTGAGCAGGACACGCTCCTCCGTCTGGCCGCAGGCCACATTTACCACCGAATTGAATAGGTATGCCGGTCCCTGGCTACCCTGAAACGACTTTGAGATGAGCTCGTCGTGCGATGCCAGATGTGCACGGCAATGAACACATGAGTAGGTCCGATTTGTGGACGGTAAATAGGCCTGAAATGTTTTCACCATTGTTGCTCTGATTACAGTTGCTGTCGCTGCTGCTGTTACAGTTGCTGTTGCTGCTGCTGTTACAGTTGTTGTTGCTGCTGCTGTTACAGTTGCTGTTGCTGCTGCTGTTACAGTTGCTGTTGCTGCTGCTGTTACAGTTGCTGCTGCTGCTGCTGCTGTTACAGTTGCTGCTGATGCTGCTGTTACGGCTACTATTGCTGTTGCTGCTGCTGTTACGGCTACTGTTGCTATTGCTGTTACTTTATCTGTTGGGCGTGTGGTTTGGCTTGGCTTTTTTAGCTGGTTGAGCGTCGATAAGTAATCCTGATCGTTGCTTGAACTGTTCTCAGTCACAGCGTTGAGCTCTTGACTGCATAAAGACGCGCTGTAATATATAAATAACATTAGTTAAGCTTTCATATAAGAGAAAACTATAATAACTGAGGGCAAAAAAAAAGCTGTACAGAAAGTGATTAAATTATTAAAAGAGCTCAGCTAAGGCATCTTTAACTTGTAAATTTTCGGCTTATTCTTTACACCTTGTAAAGCAAATTTATAAAAAGCAAAGCTAAACTTTCATGAAACTCTGCAGCAGAAAATTTCAGACATATTAACCGAGCTTAAAGCTTAACTTTCATTAGCCCCTAACTCTGGGAATTTTCGACTTGTTCTGAGCCAGAATCAGCTTAACTTGCAGTTAAAGCTTAACTTTCAGATAATCCCCCAGGAATTTCTGACTCGTTAACTTTGCATTTTTTTTTCTGTACTTTCTTTTGGCCTCAATTATTTCATGTTCAGCTCACCTTCTGGGGGACCGGATTAAGCCGAGTCTTCTCCTGCTGCTGCTGTGGGGCGTTAACTGCTCCCGTTGCTTGCAGCGTAGAGCGCCGCGGCAGAGACAGCGACAGCGACAGCGGCAGAGACAAAGGCAGAGACTGAAGCAGAATCAGAGTCAGAGTCAGAGGCAGTAGAGATGGCGGTGGCGGTGGCGGTGGCGGTGGCAGCAATTGTGGCTGCTGTCATTGAACGATTATGTCCAGCGCTTGTCACCGGGTCTCGGGTCACACATAAGCAGAACCAGCAGCTGCAGCAATACAATTGAGATGGCTTCCCTCAGTGTCTGCTATCTGATCGCTCTGGCTGTGACCTATGTATGCTCTGACTGCAAATGTTCGGGTTCCACGTGCGTTCCTCCTTAGCGTTTATATGCTAGCGCATATGTATGAGTGCACGTAGACAAATTTACACGTATATGCATATATGTATATATATTTGTGTATGTTGCTGTATCAGATAGTCTGCCAAAGACAAAAAGACAAAGCCAAATGAATATTAATTTTCCATTTTCTTTCTTTTTTTACCCTGTAAACAGTTGAAAAATGGGCTATAATAAAGTCTATAATCATAAGAAATTTACGTAAGGCAAAAATTTTCAATGTTTCATAAAAATTTTAGGTATAATTCATTAAATCTATATATATGAGTGAATACAAATCCTTTATCTATTGCGGAAGTAGAGTTTAGGTGTATTCAATAGCTATCCATGGGAAAGCTATTTAAACTAAAGTACATATTCTCAAGTATTCTCAAGTACCTCAATACTTGTAATAGAGAGAGCGAGCAGGCACTAGCGTATCTGCTAGTCAACCATACCCCACAGTAATTACGTTTCCTTGTTTGCATTTAGACGAGATATATAATATGAGAGCAATTTGTAGCAGCAACAAAGAGCGAGCAGTGAGGGCGAGAAAGGGACAGAGAGAAATACAAAGAGCGAGAGAGACAGAGAGATAGTGCGAGGGAAAAATCACAATAGGGGTCGGTGCATTTCCATTATTGATTTCCATTTGCAAGTCTCTGGCCACAGCCATATTTCAGCCAAACTACAAATATGGCCTAATAGCCGGGCAAAACACACGCATACATAGACACACACACACACGTATATATACATATGTATATGCCCATAGTCCTAAATGGTAAGAGCAACAAGGCGACTGCATTTCACTTCAGCAAAACAGAAAGATAGAGAGAGAGAGAGGGGCGGGGAAAGCACAAGCTACAAGTCAATAATTATGATGAACTGCAGTCGATTTGGCCATTAGCATCTTTTGGCTAATAAATGATTTATCATCATATAGTGCTCCGGCCGTATAGAAGCCCAAGAGCCATTAGAGTCTACTTCCCAACATTAACAGTTAACAGCTGTTCTCTCCAAATGACACCCAAATGATTCATGCCTTCGTCTAGACCCCCGCCCACCCCCCCCCCCCCCCCCCCCCCCCCCCCCC